ATTTAAATAATAAAAATATTTAATTAATTTTATTTTTAAGTTATAAAAGTAATGATATAAGTTAGATTTGATACAATAATGGTTGAAAAATAAGAGTGATACCATAATGATGTTTGTATTAAGGTACACTCAAACATGACCTAAAGAGAAAATAATGGAGCATAACCGAGTCTGCAGGAACACTAAAACTATTACAGTCAATCTTATGACAATGTTGTATAAACAACAGTTTCTGTAGCAAAATGTAGCTTGGTTAAACTATAGTTGTATTGTATTTTGTTCAACGACCTACCCCCGTATACAACCGTTTATCAAGTTGTCAAGCAACAGTCTTGATTTCAAACAAAAAAAATATTAAATAAATTTCTTCAAAAATAAGATTAGAATTTTACATATAAATTTATTTTAATAAAAAAAAATAAAAAATTTATTTAGTTTTTATTCTTATTAAAATAAATATAAAGATATTTAAAATATCTAAAATTATTTACTTATTTTTAATATTTAATTTAATTTTTTAATTTTTCTATAACGAAGAATTATCAACTAAAAAAGGGTTGGAAAATAACATTATTTTTTTTTGTAAATAGTTCTCTTTGAAAATATGTCAAGTTGAATCATGTGAAAAAAGGAAGAAAGGGAAAAAAATCAAGATCCATGATTCATTTGAGAGAGAGAGAGAGAGAGAGATTCCTTGATGTTGGAAAGGTACTATACACTCTGACAACATTTGCTTTGTTTACTTTTATATGTTCTACTTTCTATTTTACTTTTTTCTTTGAATAATTCAGATATTTTTCAAATCTAACTTTATTCAAAATTTTATTTCAGAAATAAAATAAGTTATTTACAAATATAAAACTTTCAAAAAAACATCTTTACTCTGAAAATATTCAAATNGAAAATTAATTTACGGATCATATCCATGTTCTGATGAAAGGATTAATCCTATGTGCAGTATTAATCCTTCAATACAATCTTATAAAGAATAAATCTATATGTAATGAATTCCTGTGAAGAATTCTATATGTATTATAATGAACGAATCATATCTGCATGTAATTTATTCATATGCAGTAATTTAGATTCATGCATAGAATAGATCTACATCTACTAGAAGGTCGCGCAATAAGGTGTCAACTCCGTGGGGAATCCACGCTAGACACTGATCCAGACTCCATAATTTATCGTGAGTAGAACTAGTCGGGGAATCATTTCCCGTTCTTCCCACTAATCGACCCCATTGTGGATCAGGCCTACCTGTAATAAACGTAAATGTGACCGGTCACATAACCTGTATATGTTAGTGCATTTCCTTTAATAATCAATCAGTCGGAATGAATCGTGATTAAGTGCAATGCTATCATCTGCAAAATGGATCCCGTTTGCTCATAATTTCCATAAAATATACGTAAATTGGATTTAGAAAATGAATTAAGGAATGAGAATCGCATGCAATCCATTATATTGATGCAAAATTCTATTTTAATATAATCGTAGCTTACATAAATCTAGTTATGTTCAAGCGATTATATTCTGAATTATTTAGAATCCATGAGGTATATTAAATCAAATCTCTATTCGGAATATGTGTAATTATATTTAAGCACGATTCCTGCTTGAAATTATGTATTATATGTTAGCAAGATCCGTGCTATAAGTGAAAGAATTTATGCACAAATGATATCTGTTTAAATATATTTTCAATCGCATAATGGATCCCGTTTTAAAATATAATTTTGTATTTAAATATATTTAAATGCAGAATAAATCTTGTTTGAACATAATGCAGCAAAACAGGATCTATTCTTTACACGAATATATCCTGTAAGTTTAATATATGTTCTCTGTTGGAGAAAGTAATTTCGATTTTCTTATAAAAAAACACCTCATTTTTCTTTTTTGATATGTATGGAGTTGGGTTGAAATACTTGGAAAGAAAAAAATTTGGACAAAATATATTTTTAAAGAGGAAGAACAGCGTTAGAGATAAATACGTTTACACGATTCGATAGTGATTTTTTTTTTGTTTAAAGAACACCGTTTCGAGATAGAATCTGCAACGTTTGCATTGAAATCATAAAAGACAATTTAAAAGGATTATGAAGGGAGACTCCAGTTGTTCTAGACGCATTAACTTAATGGGACGTCTAGAGAAGATTCTTAAATCTCTTCACATCATAAACGATTTGAAGAAAGATTTACTTTGACTAAGAGATTAAATAATATACGCACTTTAAAATCGAATTGTAAATAGAAAATGATTGACTTACCTAACATTTTTACGACAGCTCTTCTCGATGAAAGATTTTGTCTTCCTGGTCCTGGTCCATTTGTTGTTTCTGGTGAACATTTCCTTCTTCCAGGACCCGACATTCTAAGTCTTAGTCCTATAAATACATACAGTATGGAAATAACGCTGATGGGAAGGACAAAGAATAGAAAAGTTGATATTTCGAAGGCGTGTGGTAAAGGTCTTTTGACATTACAGACGGCTGACTCCCAAATTATTTTACCCTCTTCTGTTTCTCCGTAAACAATACCAAACTGTAAAGCTAGGGGCATAGCGAATACAGCCGCTATCATCCAGATAGCTAGTATCGTTCGAATAGCCCTAGGTAGATGGGACATGGTATGGGCTCTCAAAGGGTGACAGATAGCAACGTATCTTTCGACAGTAAAGGCCGTTATAGTCAAAATTGATGCATTTGTTGAAGTTTCCGAAGTCAAACCACGTATGACACAAACGCTCTCACCAAAAATATAAGGATATCTTACCCATAATTCATATAATTCTTGAGGCAATCCCAAGACTAAAAGGAGTAAATCCGATATGGCCAAACTGAACAGATAATAATTAGTTGCCGTATGCATATATTTGTTTCGAGCTATCACTATACAGGTACACACATTTCCAGTCGTTCCGGTAACAAGAATTACAGCATAAACAACAGTCATCGGTATGACGGTGCTAAGTGGACCCCTCTTAGGGCCCAGTCCATCATCCGAACTTTCGTTACCGTATTTCCATATATCACGTGTCAAGTTGTCGAGTGACATGAATGTAAAATTCAAGTCAACGTTCATCCCTACAAGGAACCATATCCTTCGACTGGGTCCCACATCTAGCCGTCCACTGACTAGCGACTGTACTGTAGTGTGGTGTGGCTGTCCGCTGCTTGCTTTCTGCCGCAATCGATAGCAGAAAGTTAAGCGACGCAACGTTCTCAATGGTTATTCTCTCAGCTGCACAGGAACCAAGTTTAAAGGTCAGCATCGCACTTCCGATATTTTAACACATGTTATTCTCCTATTTATATAATACAACAAGAAGTGCTTTAATATACACTTCATTAATATACCTCCGGTTTTATATCTAAATAGAATATGTTTAATCAAAACACCTTCTATTTTATCGGTAAATTTAGCTATTTTAAAGTAAATTTTATATCAGAAAAATATTCTGTTATAAAAATTATATACAATATAAAATAAAATAAAATATAAAACAAATATTCATATTTTCTTTCTTAAAATAATATTTAAATGTGAATATTTTAAATTTTATTTTATTTTATTTATTTGAAAATTAAAAAGTATTAACATAAGTGCAATTTAATTTACAAAATGTTTTCAAATTTCGTATTTATCACTTTATACACAATTAATACAAATCGTAGTGTTTATTTATAACACGTAACTTAATGTACAAATATTTATTTTTTATTCGTAAAATTACAAATATCTTTTTCTTATTTTTAACAAAGGAACAATACTTAAGATTATTTTCGTTAAAATTTAGCAATAGCCAGTAAAGGAGGAAACATCGAAATTTCAATAGAATTCCTTTGAGGAAAAATGGGTGGAAGCTATCAATTTCTAATGTCACAACGCCGACTGGTGAACAATGTCGGAAATAAGTACCTAACTTTATCAGTTTGCCACTGACCCCAACCACATGAAAGAAAGAATAATCTTAAACCAGACAACAAAAGAGTAACTAGAATGAAAAAATTTAATTTACAATTGATCATTTTAAAAATCAATTATATAAAAATATATATATATATATATATTATCTTCGTTATTTCCGTTCATTTCGGCGTGCAACTTTCGTTCGTGCAACTTTCGTTCACAATTTGTTTTATATACGTGTATTGTTTTGATTTTAAAAATATCTTAAGAAAAAAAATCATTTATAGTATGGCATGTAAGAATTTATTGAAATTTCAATAAGATTTTGAGATTTCAATAGAATACTAAGCTGTATTTGATACAGTTAAAGTACAATTTGTGGCGATTTATTCAATTATCTAATGTATATTCGATCTGAGTACGAAATTAATTCATATAAATAACTCCTTATATTAATGTTCTATTCATCTATCATTCAATCAAGTGATGAAAGTAAATTAATTAAGGATTGAAACTCAACAGAAGAAGAGATCTTGACCAGAAAATCATACCTCTTATAGATGAATGATTATTTTTTATATTATTATTATTACATAACCGGTCATCGAACTAAATTATTGGAGTTTTTTTCAGTTTTATAAATGCACTTTTAATAAGCAAAAGAATCTTCATAACTCATTATCCATAATAAATTAAAGAATTAATCATGCATTATCTATGATTAGAGATTTAAAACTTCGTATCTGATACAGAACTTTTACAGTAGAATCATAAAGATTACATGCTTATATATCATTTGATTAATTTTTAATAAAATTTTAGTGATATTATATAAAAAGAAAGAGGAAAAATTGGAAGAAACTCGAAAAGATCAGTTTCCTCTTCCCATAGATCGAAAATGGTTGGATTTGATATTGATAGGTCTATTTATAGGCGTACTGTATATATTCAATACATATTTACAGTATACTGAATAGAGATATGCCATATATTATAAATAAACTTTTACTTTTATTCAATAACTAATAAAGAAACTAATAAGATTAAAGAGCATCGATTGAAACTAATCTTTTAAAAAGTATTGTATAAAGATCACAGGAAGAGTAATATTGGAAAAGAGGAATCATGTTAACACAAAACAGTTTTCACTTTTATTCCTTCAAATGTGCACTCAGATAAATTAAAATAACAATTATAATTGAAAAATATATTACCGTTATAAAAAGCTATTTGAAAAATTAGTTATATAATAACATTTTTTTTTAAAAATATAGTGATATTTATATTTTTCTATGATATTATTACAGAATCTTATAAAATTCTTTGCAAAAAATTCAAAATTAAATGTTGCAAATCTTTCTATAAACTTTGTAAAATTTATTGATTGATTTAATTCCTTAATTCTCCATCGTGTAAATATTTATTAATTTTAATATGATCGAAAATAACAGTAAAAAATCTATTTATAAAATATTTTAAATTACTTAAAAATTACAATAAATAAATGAAAATTTCAAATATATAACTTATAAATTTTATATACAGTTATAAATATGTAAGTCATATAATTTATAGTCTCACTTCAAAGGAAAAAATATTAAAATAAGCGAAAGTGATATAATTTAGTTACAAGAAACACGATGCTGCTCTTTGTAAACACATCAATCAATAATTAAGGGAACAAATTGCTGTTGTTACTTGACTACTATGTTATATATTGCATAATGGAGTGTTATGTAAAAATTAGTGACTAAATTTTATGCTATAAATAATTTATTACTGTTTGCCTATAAATATTAAATTTGTGATCTGAATATATACATATGTGTATATAATATAACTGAATAATATAACAATTATGAATCTATAACTTTAAAATAAAGAATTAAAATAAATAATTATTACATTTAATTTTATATATTTTTTAATTATTTATTTTAAAAATCATTAAAATTAACAATTATAAATTTATAATTTTATTTTAGTATTCAGTTATATCTAAATTTAAGATAATATATTTAATATTTATAGGAAAACGATAATAAATTACTTATCTTAT